TTGAGGAAATGGAGGAGACAAAGAGAGAGAGAGATGATTGAGGCCTTGTTATCTACAATGTCCTGTTAAGAACTATCTTCCAACAAAACACTTTCAGCAGACAGTATCCTGATCAGAGACAAAAGTGTTTGTATCTTTCCAGCAATGCTGAAAGGACAGAGATGTGAAAACTATACAATAAAAACCGTTACAAAAATACAGAGCTAGGAGCCTCAGAGCACTGATGGAGAATGCAAAAATCAAACGTCTTAGTGCCATCAGAACTTTCCATATTATGAACTTCTGCCTTACGGACCAGCCTCCAGTCTTATTTGACAGCTCAAAGGGCTATCACTACAAGTTCTGTCATTTCTATATAAATACTAGCCTGCACAGAGAAGTGCAACTGGGAAAATCCCAATTTCAAGAGTCTTCCAATGAGATATATGCCTAGGATGGGATAGAGAGAATGTTTATCGCGACTAGAATGTTTTATTGTGACATATGTTGTTTTCCGTTAATGTCCTCTGAAGAGAGGAATGTTAAAATATTTCAAATAGAAATGACACCGATAGATCTGGATCTAAAGGGGCATAAGGAGCCTCCTCTTCCAGCAATGCCATATGACCTAAACATATTGAGGTCCTATGATGTATCCACAGACATGCTCCTTTGCAGACCTCTGAGCCATTCAACATGGACCTTAGTCCATCCCTGGTTCAAGTTACATAATTCAGATGTGGACCTGTGTTAGTTGGAGGTGGCAAGTTTAACAGAATCCTTAAGTCTGGGAATAAAAGTCTTCATTATCCCAGAGAGTTTCCTGGGGACTGAAATTTTGACTATGCTTTGCTGAATATTTAATTTTCTAAAGCATTGTCACTCTGACCTTCCCTTCCATAGTTATAACTGCTGTATAGAAAGTATAGAGAAGTGTAATTTCTTACCTACTGGAAGAACATTTAGGCTTTATAACTAGTACCATCTGAATTGAATACCTTATTTGCTTCCTGTTTAAAGAACACAAACAGCATAGGATGTTTGGCTACCGTTAGCTTTTCCCATTTTCCTGCTTAAAATCGCACATGAAAACAGGAAAGGCCTAATCCTTGACTTGAGTTCTACACAAGAAGACATCTCCAAAGATCTTGGGGGTATGTAACTGCTGTGGCTGTTAGTACAAAATCATTCATTCAGTGGTTGATTCAAACCCTATAAAGTCAAAGTAAAGACTCACATTTCAATTATATTCATTTAAGACTAAGGCCTAGCTCCACAGCTCACTAAGTTGAAACTCAATGCCAAGGCTAACAGCACAATTACTGGCTGTCTCTAGCAAAAAGCCAATGACTAAACTGACAGTGAAACTGAACTACTTTATTCCCTACTTGAGAATGGAAGAATTCTGTGGAAACACACACACACAGATTTCTGTATCTAGCTTTGGCAATTTCGCCATTACTAACATTTTAAAGTACATTCATGAGAACAGATTAGTCAGTGCTTGATAACAAAACTTGAAAATTGTTACAAAATTTTCTGCTAACGTAAAGAAATCAGTAGCACACAGAACAGACCGGTCTAGCACACAGAAGGCAGCATAAATAGAAATATATGGATCAACTGTAGTCAAGAATGTAAGGGAACAAGGAAATAATTCCTGATAACTCTCTGCCTGAGTGATGTCCAAGTGTCATTTACTGTGAATAGCAATTTCACCTCTTCTCCAAACTAAAGTCAAATCAGCCCAATCAACAAAAATTATCTTGGGAGAACACATACAGGAATCAGATATATGCAGTAAATCAATAGCCCATTACATTTATTGCTCATTATTCGCAGTACCTTTTTACACTTCCAGATAAAATGGAGCTGGACTGTAGGGTACCACAGTCACAGCATAACTGTGCAGCATGCTTTGGTGTCATTTGCTATTAGTGCATTTAGTACATTTAACAATAGCTGAAACCTGATTTGCCAGTTTTACATCAAACCACAAGAAACCACAGCTGAAAGAGGAGCCCTTATCAACAAATTAAATTATGTATGTCTTTGTCGGAAATTAGAGTATGGGTACATACACAAGGCAGGAGTTATATAAGGTTATATTGCTTCCTGACCCAGGTCTCGAAACTACCTCCAGAATCCCAGAATTAAAGTGTGTACCTTAGCAGTCAGCTCCATTGTACTCCAATATTAATGTGGTTTGAATGGCAAATTACAGTTGTGAGATAATTTCAGAAACTGCTAACCTCCTGCTAGTGGCCATTTTCCAGGTGAAAGCAAAACCTAGCTGAATGAGCTCTTTCTCATTATATCCCTCAGGAGCAGTAAGCTCCAGACTTGACTTGAGAGCAGTGATGTCACCATTCATGAACTGAGGGCGGTCAGCTGAGTGAGCCCTTCCTCCATCTCACCAGATGTGCAGAACTACATCTTGATTTAAATGATGGGCAGAGCAGAGGCAGCTGTAGGGA